CATGTATTTTAAATATATCTTAAAAAAGAATCCAAAGATTCTTTTGGTAGAAAAATGCATTATATTTGATATTATCGAGAATGTTAATTGATTCAAAGATGCTTCTGAAAGGAAGTTCAGCAAAGTTGTTGCTTTTTAGAATATTATATTTAGCTAAAATAGTGAGAAGTTGACTATTAATAAGTTTAATAAGTGCTTTTTTAGAAAGGATATTCTAATAAGATAATCAGTCTAGTGTGATTAAGATTAAACTCCCATGGTTTTAATTTTAAAATTAGATAAACAAAAGCCAAATTCTATCTGTATGAGATCAGATTATATAAAAAACAGCAATATATGATCTTTCAAAAACATTTAACTATGAAATGACCAAAGTGTTTTAACATTTTATTTGATATTTTTGAGGATCAGAAGTTTTATCATTAGACAAAGATTTAATTATGCCAGACCATTCTTCTTCAGTAAGCAGTTGTATAAGAGAATTATAGATAGTAGGATAAACATCTTTTAAGGATACATATTCTTCTTTCTATAAATCAGAAAGTATTAGATTAGAATATCTAGAGCCTACAACTTGTTGAAAATGATAAGCTGTTTCTCTTTTAACATCTGTGAGGTTTATAAGTAACTCTTTGTCAGGACTGTTGTTATTAATGCATTAGTCTAGAAGAATGGTAGTGTGAGAATAATTAATAGAGAGTCAAATATGGCTAATTGATTAGTGATAAAATTTTCACATTTTCATTTGATAGTTTCTTATATAAATTTTGATTTATATTCTAGTTCTTGTATTTTTGCAACAGCTATTAATACTTTTTTGAGATCTTTGAGAACAGGTAATGCTGTTATAATGAAATTTAATATATAAGTATCAGATGTAGGTAAGAGAGTATCATATTCAGCTGAGAATAGTGAGACCTTGTCAAACAAAGTACCCCATTTACTATCAAAAATTCCACTGGAGAGAGATTATTTGGAGGAGCGTTCCAGTTTATGAAGTAATTTAATACGTTTGTAAGTTTTTTGAGTAATTTAGGTCTGAAGTCATGAGTATGATAAGATGTATACTTGTTAAGGATACATTTTAGAGCAGCATTCATAATGGCTTTTTAGAGGAAATTCCAAGTGAAATTAAGTTTGTGAATGTTGGAAATATTATCGAAATTTGCAGAAACCAATCTTGACTTTCTGCATCAAGAATTAACAGCTTTAGCAAAAGCAGATCAATCATTATCTGACAAATCCTAGTATAAAAATATAAGTTTTTTCATCATCAAGGGATTGTTAAAACTTTAGTTGATAAAAGTAAAGGATATAGAAGAGGATACAATATAATAATCTGATAATGACATATTAATAGGAATAACTTGATAGTCATTAAAATCTGAGAGTAAAGATGGAGCAATAAAAATATGATCAATAGTTGAACGTGATAAGTTCTAAATATATTTATCAAGATTGTTAATATCTTTGACCACTTTAATAAAGTTAAAAGTGTTAACAATATTATTATTGGTGATATAATTAATGAATTATTTTAAATGCAAGGGGTTATGAGACAGATCAGTATTAAATCCCCTAAAATGATAATAAAGAAATTAACATGAGTAGCTTCTTCTATGAGAATACATATTTGTTGTATTATTTTTAAACAGAAGGATTTATCAGAACAAGATAAGTAGACATTGATAACTCAAAATTTGTTTTTGTTTTTAAATTGGAAATTAAGACAAAAAATTCAATTAAAATGAGACAAGTGATGAAAAATATGATCAGCGAGATATTTTTTAATAAGAAATCCTATGCTGAAGCCTGAATGTTAAGTATCTAGGTCAGTAAAAAAGAATGGTATAAGTTTGTTATTACAAATAGTTTTAAGAGAAAAGTGATGGAATGTAATAATGAAATTAGTTTCTTGTAATACAATAATATCTAAATGATTAATAAAATAAAGGTCTACCAGGAGTTGCTGTTTAAATGTGTCAAGAAGTGATCAAGTGTTGTGAGTTGCAACATAAAAGATAGTGATAAAAATTTATATTTCATATTACTGATTTGTAGATTCATTATAAAGTATTAAAAGAAGAGGTCAGGGTATATGAATTCAATACTATCTTTATTAATTTATACAGTGCTTGATTTATTTAGTTGCAGAATCAGTGTATTAAGTGATTTATTTATTTTTCCATATAAAAAATTTTGAATATGAGCTATTGCATCGAGTGTAGTATTAAGTTTTTTAATATTTTATTATTGTTTTATTTTGACATAGTTCTTTATTTTCTTGAGCCAACCATTTAATTTTACTTTTATATTCGATAATTTTAGATTCAGAGGTATCTACGCTCTCTTTGTACTAAGTCTCATCAGTTTTTATGTCAGTTTTGCCTTTGCCTTTGTTAGTAACATTAAGTTTAACAACTTTTTTAGAAATAAATGTGAATATGTTTAGATTTCATTTTACTGTGAATGTAAGGTCATTATGAATTTTAGCTAGTATTTCTATAAGTGCATCTAATTTGAGTATGATTTTAGTGATGTTAGATGGTTTCTAATTTGACTGGTCATCTCTTTATTGCTTAAAAGAAATGTAATTATTCTCTACTTAATCAGACTAGGATTTATTAGCATGAATCAAATTATCTAATAAGGACTTATTATTCATAATATTAGTAAGTGAAGACTTAGAGTGAGTTAGAATAACAGGAGATTTATTAATAGGAGGTTTATTTAGGTGAGTTCAGTTTGCAAAATAATGAGAATTTTTTAGATCAAATACAGTGTTATTATCATGTATAAAAGTAAATCTAATAGGTTTCAAAGGAGCTGAATAGTTTTTAAACTAGGCGAATTTGAATCATTGATAGAGGTTTTGGTTTGACAATCCTGTGATGCAGTATACTTCTTTTTGTAAGAATGAGAGTCATGTTTAAGCACAGCATAATGTGCACATAGTTTAATATCTAGTTACATCCAGATGAGTCTTCTACTATCTAAAACAATTTGGTCACTATTAATTGCAATAAATAGATCTTTCTCAGATTTAAAATGAACAAAAATATATTGTAAATTTTGATAATTTGATTAGGCTTTAGGAACTACTTATATCATAGCATTTACAGTCTTTGCAATAGGTTCAAATTCATGAACTATGGTATCCTTAGGTAAATTATTAAGTTTGAGAGAAAATTTGAAGCGAAGTTAGATATCTTCAATTATAGTGAAGCAAAATGCATATAAACTAAATCTGTGAAAATAAATTAGCCTTTAATGTCATTGAAAGATGCTATATTAGTATCTTCTTCAAAGGAAATGATCGCTTGTAACCACAGATTCTTGGTAATCATAGAATATCTTAGAACAATTTTGTATTTAGTAAATGTCGATTGAATTGCATGTTCAGAAGTTAATATGAAGATCTCCATTATTTTGATTATCAAGTCAGGATTAAACCTAAATAAGGTAGGATGTTCAAGAGATTTTAATTTTATATCTGTCATATCTGAAAATTTAATATAAAATGCTTTATTAATATTCTCACTTATAGAGAATCCAAATTGGACAATATTAAACATTTTGTTTATAGGATCTTATTTAATGGAAGCATCAATAAAAAAAGAAAAATTTATGTCATTAAATATCTTATAAGCATGGTTAATTTTTTTCTTATTTGATTTATCAGAAAAAAAGATTTCAGCAGCATAGCAAATATAAAAAGAAGAAGCATCACAAATATATTCAAAAGTAGTGTTGGCATTGGACTCATTCCAATTGACTGAATTGGACGATTTGGACAATTAGACAATTAGACATAAATCAATAGCGTACAATTGTCCAAATCGTCCAAATAGATTTTTGTTAGATTTGGACTATGTCCAAATGTCCAATTAGATAATTGGACATGCAATTGGACTTAGACCAATTAATTGTCCAATAAAATTCAATATAGTACATGATAATCAAATAAAAAATTCTTTCGCAAATTTTTAAATTTTTACAACTTCGCAATGCAATAGTTTTATTTTGCTTTAGAATTTGTGCATTTAAAATTTAGGTATTTTCATAATAGTCATATTGGCAATAAGGTACTTCAGTACCTCTTTTTTTCATTTTTTTTAATAATAAATATAGAAATGCATAGGAAAAACATAAACTTAGTGGTTACAGTCAACGACCAAAATTATGCAGACATTTGATTTGTCAAAATTAGGCATATCATCACGTGATTACATAATAAAAATAATACGTCATTTTTTACTTATAATGATAAACAATACCCCAAACATTTTCTCTTAAGTAAGTTCATGTCAAATATAAAAGTACTTATTCCTGAAACTTGTGGTGCTATTGCATACTATTATAAATATAGATAGTCAGGTCATACCATAGATGCAGTAAAATGGCTGTTTATAGTATTCTTAAACATTTTCGTGAAACTGGTTCTTTAATACCACCATCTAGTATTAAAGTATTTGAAAAGTATGTAAAGGATGCATGAAAAGATATCCCTCTGGAAAATTACAAAAACTGATCGATAGCATGCCGCAGTGAATTGTAGCAGTTATTGCTGCAAATGGAAATAGGATTAATATTAAACTTTTTCATAAATCAATAAATAAATATATATTTGAATTTATATTTGTTAAAATCTTATTTTTATTATATTATGTGTATATAATTTATTTGATTTTAAAAATGTTCGCATAATTTTGATCATTGACTATATTTTTTGATATTGAAAGAAAAATCCAATAAATGGAACAACTATGCTATTTATCAGGATTGTATTCGGTTTTAGGTTCAGAAGAAGCTTCAAAACATAAATTTACAAATACCAAGCGTACATGTGCAAATCATCTTAAAAGTTGTCCTTATTAGGCCAAAAGACATACCTCAGAACAAACTAGTGCTATAATTCAAAATGCAATGGATTATGGATCAAAAAATGAAACAAATGTCATCGATTAGTAATTGAGAAGGAAGGGATGAAGGGGAAGGGGATGAAGGGAACGAAAGAGGTAAAAGGGATGCATTTCAATTAACTTTTCATACTTCATTACCACAATTACCTCTGTCACGAAATTTAAATAACTTTTTTTATACAACACCATCTATTACATCACATAGAAGCAGTGTAAGTGATATATCTAATATATTATCTCAAAGTTTTAGTCCGCTTGATAATTATGTATATCATGAGTTAAAACCTGAACAAATAGAAACATTTGAATAATTATTGTTAAATGTTACTGTTGCATGCGAGTTTTCTTTTTGTTAGGTTGAAAATTTAGCAGTTAAAGAACTTTTTAAATGGATTAACCCAATGTTATGTTTGCCAAGTCAAAAACAGTTTAGTGGTCGAATTCTTGAAAGAACTACTAACAAAATTTTAGAAACCATTCTTAATGATGCTATTAATAATGATCTTAGTATTATGTTAGCTTTTAATGGATAGAAGAATGTAGCACGTCAAAATTTATTAAGGTCTGTTTTGTTTACTTTAGAAAATAATATGATTATCTGAAAAAATTGAAGATATTAATGGAAAAAGATGTACAGGTGATATTATGATGGATGAAACTAAAAAATCTTTTGAACAACTTGAACAAAAACAAATTAAAGTCAATGGATTAATCACAGATTCAGCTTCAGAAAATGCTGCTGCAAGGTAATTAATTATATAATTATTTTAATTTATATTTATTAATTATTAATTATTAATTATAAATTTATCTAACATTTTAGAAAATGATTGCGTCTTCAATATCGTGATAAATTATTTCTATTATGTTTTGCCTATCAGATGTATTTATGTATTGGTGATATATTTAAAGAATCATCAAGTTTAAGTGATACTGCTGAAAAAGCTATTAGTCTAATTACTTATTTTAACTGTTCAAAAGTATAGCTTGGGAGATTACAAAATGAACAATCAACCACTTATCAAACTCATATTGCATTAGTTATACTAGCTTCTATCTGATGAAATTCATATTATTATTATTTTTCCAATTTATTAAAAACAAAAGCAGCTTTACGTGTATGTATAATATTATAATAATTTAATTAATTTAAATTAAATATATAATTTTAATTTACAATATTTTTTTTTTTTAGAATCTTGCAACTAAAATAGATAATCTTATTATTCCTGATAGTTACGATTTTCCTAATGAATATTTAAATTGTATTCTTGATAATAATTGGTAGAGTCAAATTAAAAGAATTGAAACTCTTTTAATTCCATACTGTGTAGCACTCAACAAAATTCAACAACATAATTCACGATTACATGAAGTTCTTCATGGATTTGGTAATATAGTTATGACACTTAAAGCATTTGATGACCAAGAATTAGCTGATGCACTTTTTATAAAACTTGAATGATGATGGAAAGATTGGGAATAACCACTTTTATTATTAGCATTTTTATTACATCCATTTTTATCGTAATATAAAATTTAATCCTACAATTTCAAATTTATCATTTCCTCACTTAGCAAAATGGATTCTATATTATTATTGTGCATGGTTTCATGAAGAACCAACAATTTTATTATCTGAACTTGAAGATTATTGATCAAAAAAATATTCTTATATTAAGTCTATTTCTAAACAATTTAAAAATAATATTTTAAGTTATTGGAGTTTTACAAAAGGTTATTCAAAGGAATTATACAAGATTGCTCAATGGATTTTTTCAATTACTGTATCAACAGCATCATTGAAAAGGTTATTTTCAACAATAGGATAGTATCATTCAAAAAGACGAAATCGATTAAAGGTATAGTTTATTAATAATAAATTAATTATAAATTTAAATTAATTATATATAATATTAAATTTATTTTAATATTTTAGGTAGAAAAAGTATTAAGTTTAGTACAGATTCATGCAAGTATGCAACGACAATAACAGCTTCGTGAATTGGATTTTTATGCATAATGATATCAAAAAACTATAGCAGATCTTGCTATTTTTGAATCAGATAATACAGAAAATATAGATCATAAAAATTTTTTTCTTTCTGATAATGAAGATACTGATATTGATAATGAAATAAATGAGAGAAATAATGAAGATACAAATTTTATTAATAATACACGTATATAATCAATAACTTCTATTAATAAGTGGAGAAATATGATAACAAATTGGGCAGAAATGATTGAAAGTGAATTACAAGATCAAGATATTGAAATAACAGATTTAATTGATACTTATGATATTTCGGTTGATAATATTGAATAATTGCAACATCCTGCAATTGATTTACAAGCAAAATGGCAATTAAAAGATATTTTTGTAAAAAGTTTAGAATTATCAAATTATTTAGAAGATTTTATTATAGGTAAAAATTAATAGCAATTTTTTAGCTGTATTGGAATTTTTTAAATAAAAAATAATTTTAAACAATAAAAATTTATAAATTATCACTTTAAATAATAACATGAGTAAAATTTATTATAACGCGATTAATTATAATTAATTAAAATTTATTTTTAATTGGTTAATAATAACAGTTGGAATTGGATCAAGTCTAATCATCCAATTGTTTAAATAGACTTATTGGTATTAGTACAATAAGTCCAATATCCAATTGGTCTAATTGTTCAATTGTCCAATTGCCAACACTGTTCAAAAGGGAGAACATTAGGAAAGAAACCACTTTTTTTAAATAAATTTTTAGAGGGATCATGTGCTTAGTCCTCATCCATTTTGTTGGTATCTTTAGAAATGACAAGAGTTAAAATATTCTTAGTTGAAATTTCAAGTAGAGGATCAACTTCCATGTTGCTTTGAGAGCCAGAAGTGATGTTTGAGTTATCAATATTGTTATTATTTATAGAATCAGAATAGTTAAGAACAGTTACAGTTTTCTATCAAGGTGATTCAAAAGACTTTTCATCAATAGACGAGTCAGAATAATTACGAGTATTGCATTGAACTTTTGGGTTATTGTTAAATTTTTTCTTTTGATCTTTTCCCATAGTGTTTTTGAGAAGAGTGAAAAAGAGTTTTGGATTTAAAATTAAGAAATAGTATAAATCAACCAAATATAATTACTAGTTTTATAATACAGTTAAAAATAGAAAAATCAAAAATAATTACCTCAATGAAAAATGATTAATATTATTCACAAAAAAAAATATTACACTTAATATATATCCTAAACTCAATGATCTTATCGAGTATCAGATAAACAATCATAATATTAATTATCAAACACTACCTATAATAGTTTTACCACTTCTCTTATATTTACAAATATTACCTTCAACTTCTACTTCTTCTAGATATACTTCATACAAAAAATTATATAGTAGGACTTAAGTTTATTGAATCAATTTTATATGTAATTAAGCATCAAGTCATAGAAGAAATTAATAAAAGTATTGAATAGAGCATTCTTTTAAATAAAAATTTCACAATTACTACTGATAAACATCTACCAATAATAGCAAATACATAGTTAAAAATGAGCCAGTTTTGCGATACTTTGAGATAATAAATTTAGAAGAATGTAATACAAATTTAATTGTACGAGATATTGAAATATTTTTAAGCGCAAAAGGTATATTATTAAAGTCTTTATATTATATAAAAACTAATAGGACATCTGTAATAACAGGTAAATTTTTATAATTTATTTTTTATTTATTTATTTATTTTATATATTTATTTAATTTTTTTTAAGAAAAAATCTCAGAGTAGCCATATATTTAAAAAATAAAAATCTGTTTATAACTGCAATTCATTACATAGCATATCAAAGTTTTAAAAAAATATTAATTTCTAAAATTATTAAATTCTTTTTTATTTTTTTAGTTTATTTTATTTTTTTATTTTAGGTTTGATTGGTTTTCTTTTTTAGGCCACTTTGTAATTATAGTGAAGGTAAGCTAATTAATGAATAATTTCTTTTTTTTAGTTTTTTATATATTTTTTTTTTAATTTTTTTTATTTTAGATTGAATCTTATAAGCTAAGAATTTTCAAACAGAACTATTCAGTTCATCACCATAGTAAAGGTAAACAAGATTAGTATTTTTTTTATTTGACTTATTTAGATTTATGATCATAGCTAATCCGAGGCTAGGTTAATATTTGAAAGTATTTTATTTAATTTTTAATTTGATTTTTTTAATATTAGTTTTTTTTATTTTATTTTTTTTAATATCTTATTTTTATTTGTAGGTTCAATCAGTTTCTTCTCTTAGACTAAAAATCAGATAAAACTTTGAATAGATCTGTTCAGCTTGTCATTATAACAAAGGTAAGCTGATAATCTTTTTTATTTTTTTCTTTTTCTTATTTTGGCAATTAAATCTGATTACTAATTTTATTTACAGACTTCCGCTAAAAGTCTTTAAATGCTATCATTTAGGAGTTATTTTATACTGATTTTATTATGTAACTGTATAATACTTTAGTCATATGATATTTGAACCTTGTTTACTTAAATCAAATCAAATAAATGCATGTTTAGTTTGTTTATTTTGATTTTTAATCAAAATAAACTTTATCTTTTCAAAATAATAAAAATGTCTAAGGAATTTATAACAGAATAATATAAAGGTATAATTTTTTACTGTAAATGCAGTAATAGTTACTGAACTATTGCTACAACTATCAGTTATGAATTGTCAATAGTTCAACACTTTAAAAAGGATAAATAATACTAGAACTATTAATTCTAAGCTTCGTTCTGATCGATTATCCTTAATTAAAGATTTGCAGTAAAAGTAGCTTAAGCGAGTTATCACTAATGATAAAAAATAAAATCGTTATTTATGCATGGAGAAGTTCAACAACTTTGATAAAAAAAGACCAGCTAAGATGTTTCAACTCAAACTATTGGTCGAGCACTTTGTGCAGTTAGATTAAACAATTATTTTGCTTGATAAAAGCCTTTAATTACACTAAAAAGTGTTAAGATATACCTTACATGATGTATGGAATACCAAAGTTAAACAAAAAATGATTGGTCAAAAGTAATATAAAGTAATAAATCAACCTTTTTACAATTCTAATAAAGCTGTTATAGTCAAATGTAGCATGAATCTCATGAAAAATGGAACATTTCTTATGTTTCTGCTACAGTAAAACATAGCCTTAATCAGATGTTTTAGGGCTGCTTTTTGAGATAAGGCTTAGGACTAATTATTTCATTATCTGGAATAGTTACTGGTACTATATATATTATCATTCTTTGCAATGTATCATACTAACTATGAGATATGCATTTTCAAAATATGATGGTATATTCTAAAGAAAATAATACTCATTCTTATAAAATGAAGCTTGTAATGAAGTTTCATATAAAAAATAGTTTGCATGTATTTTCATGACCTGTTCAAAATCCAGATCTCAATTCTATTGAGAATCTATAGGCCAAAGTTAAGTAAAGCATTCATGAAAGGAAAAATTTGCCTTTCAACCTTGCTAAACTTGACCAATATGTTATAAAGGCATGAAATCAAGTTTTGATAAAACTATTAAAAATTTAGTCAATAGTATACCGCAACAAATTTAGGTTGTAATTGAAAAATAGAGACCTAATTAAATACTAATTATTTAGTACTAAATTTGTAGCATATTGTACTTTAATAAATATATTAATAAATCTTCTTTAATAAAACTTAAAAAATTTAAGTTTTATATTGAGCCAAAAAATGTTTAGAGATTTTTAGCAGGGGGTCTGTATTTTATCTATTTAATAGATTCTTTTTAGGCAGTTTTAGGTTAAATCAGATCAGATTAGTAAATATATTTTTACTATTAATTTTATTTTTTAAGCTAGATTGATTTATCTCTTTGGCTGAATTTATTGATTTTCTTTACCATAACATAAGTTTTTTGACATTTTTATTAGTACTTTAAATATTAGCATTAGTAATCATAATAATAATTAATTTTTTTTAATTTTTTTTATATTATATGATAAAAATTACAAAACACTTTCTACCCAATTTTTTTTTTAAAAAAATCATATATAAATAACTATTGTTCCTATAAATATTGATATTGATAGCATATTGAATATAAAAATGGTCCTATAGTTCTTACATGAAGCTAATAAAATTTATACTTATTTCTTCTTTTGAAAACAATCATAGCTTCCACTATATAAAGTAAAATCACCTAATACTAATATCTATATAACATAATGTTAAATTATATAAATAGTAAATTAGTTAACATTTAAAAGATAATCTATGAGAGAAAAATATGTTTATTAAAATTCTACTGTCTCTAAATAAAAGTTATAAATATTAATTTAGAAAGAAAAAAGCTTTGGTGCATACATATAAAATAGAGTAATAATACATAAAATTTTACTTATTAGTAATAATCTTTTTTATGTTATGCAAAAAAATTGTAAAATGCTTTGATTACAAGTATATAGAAATGTTCAAAATATATCACAATTATAAAGTATTGCAAAAATTATAAAATGCTTTGATCATTAATTTCATAAATTATACAGTTTGTAAATATTTTGAGTACTCTGTTCAGTAATATATTATAATTATAATATATTACAAATACAGTTTGTAAATATTATAGAATACTAGAGTTTTAAATAGATCAGTTCAGATTAGATCAATCAAGTTATCTGAACTGAGAGGATCAGGTCAAGTCAAATAAAATCTGACTTAGTTTAAATTTTTATTTGATTTGACTTGACCTTACTTAACCTGATTGAATTATTCAAGAAGAAAATTAGCTATCATTTAAGAAGAATGATAATAAATCATTCTAGTTAAATAATAAAATTATCATTTTTGAATAATAAAACTATTATTCTAATTGAAAATAAAATATTATTTTTAAACAATAAAACTATCATTTAATTGAATAATAAATATCATTCAAGAATGATAAAAACTATTATTTAAGAATAATAATGAATCATTTTAATTAAATGATAAAATAACGTTCAAAAATGATGATTGATTAGCCTAAATTTTATCAGTTTAGATTAGATTAGATTAGGTCGACCTGTTGACCTAACTTGACATTAACCTGAAAATTTACTGACTTGACCTAAATTTTCAGATCAGGTCAGATCAGATAAATAGGTTAATCTGACCCGATTCAGAGCTTTACAGAGTACTCTATTTAGTAGTATATCATAATTATAACATATACAAATATCACGAATACTTTGTCCAATAATATATCATAATTATAATGAAATACAAACTTATGAAATGTTTAATTGTAAATTTTCGTAAATTATATGGT